GTGTGTGTGTGTGTGAGCTGTATGCATTTGTAATCATAATATGCACAAGTAATCATTTGCGTTGTCTCTCTTTGATTTGAGCGTGTTAGAAAAATGAAGGGAAGTAAGAAACACGTGCTTTAGTATTTTATTTTTATAGATTATTACAGACTAATAACTGGTGATATTTATATCGAGATTTTTTCGATTTTGACCACAAAATATTTTCATTTCTTCATTAATAAGTTGCATTCGTAATAAGTCGTGCGAGTATCTTTGGGGAGCATATTTAAGTAATAAAGTGCGTATTTAAGTAATAAAGTAGCATCATAGAAGATGTTTTATTTTCATAAGTGCTTATGTAATTTTGGTACGCATTTCACATTATTTGAATAGCCATAATAGTTTGCTAAAATATATATTATATATTTAGGATCACTTGACTCATAAATAAATATTATTAAATGTTTGCGTTTCTATTTGGCTAATGATGAATGATGAAGCGTGAAGTAAATGTATAATTGGTTTACAAGTGGTGCCACGTTTGATAATACTAAATAATAACATAATAATATGCCGATATTCGTTAGAACTAAAATGCATTTTTCGATAATATTAATAAAATAGTATTGAATAATATGGCATTTAGCAAAATGTACTATTCGATAGTTTTTTCAAGAAGTTTTATTTTACTGAATAAAAATATTTAATATAAATATGTAATTAAATTTTTAATAAAAACATTTTATTTTTTTAAAATATGCACCCCTAGAAAAGAATTTTCCTAATTAATAAATTTTTTAATGTTTATATCTAAAAAAATTTGGTTTTTATTATTAACGGAAAAATTTCCGGAATTTGTGTATTAATTTATGTAACATATACGTAAAAATTTATTAAAATTAAATTATCCTAAACTTCTTCACTGATAAGTGTTATCGTCACCTTTGTTAATCAGACACGTAATGTAATTATGATATTGTATTTGTATATATATTCTAAGCCTTGCTAGCGAATCAGTAAAAATTTTCAACTTCTTTGCTAACGAGTTCATTGTTACATTGATAAATAAGGAAGCGTAATCATGAGATACGGTTATCTCTATTTGAAGATGATATATGTCTATGCCAAGTTTTAGTATCAGCTCTTTCTTCTTCTTAAGCTGGAACGACTCGATATGTTTATTGGCACACGTCTACTGTTGAACGTGCAAGAAAACGAGATACCAATATTTCTGCTTACTTGACATATCGTATCATTTTCCGTTTTGCCTGGCACGAAACTCTATGTTCATGAAAAGCTGGTCCTATCTAACGTTCCTACGCGATGAATTATATAGGAGTACCAGTTCTGACAAGGTAGGCCACGCAATGTGTCAACGAAAACAGTTTCTACTATCTACATATATATAGTAATATAACTCTAAAAGTTGATGCACAAGATAGCAATTCGGAGTGATTTCTTGACACTTCTTTGTCAGGCGTGTGAGTTATTGCAATGCGTATTTGGAGATGCCGTCTGCGGATATCTATCAGTCTCTTTGTATATTTTATAGAAAGAAAAATGATATCCGTTCTATTCAATCTCTATCCATTTTCATGTATTTTAATTTATTTGCAAGTTTCCAAAAACACGTATGGAGAGAAATTTTTTTCGATTGCATGGGGGGGGGGGGGGGGGAGGGAGCGATAAAACATTTTGATATTTTTAAGGTTTCTCATTGTTTCGATGCGAAGCTTGCTTTTTGGGCGATTTTTAGTAGCAAGTAATATGATTTTGCGGCATCGTTGAAGTAAATATCAAATTGACGTCTCACGTGCACGTATGTGCATGTTATTACATCTTGGTATTGCGCTAGCTTACACAATGTGTACCGGATGGTCTTAATTTCTAGAAGAACGATAACGTTGAACATACGGTTTATTGGCGTACGTTTTATTACATCTCACTTATATTTACTGAGAGAGTTAACAAAATTATAAAAATTATAAATCAGAATTATTGACTATAGAAATATTAGAAACGAATTGTTACTTTTAATATTAAAATTGTTAAGTATTTTATTTTATCTATAAGAAAACTTTTTAAAGAGTTTTAATATTAAAGTAAATATCTCCATTGTAAATATATTTAAACATAAACGTGGCATATTTAAATAATACATATAAATAATAGAGCGTTAATTGTGAGAGGACTAATTGTAAGAAAGTTTACCAATTTAAGATTTGATCGGCAATTTCACTCTATCCAGCGAATCCACCTGGTTGCTCGATGAATACAATCCTCAATGCACTTTTGACCTGTGCGACCTTTTGGCCCAATGCGACCTTTTATGCCTACATTTCGTATTTCTCGCAAAATGAGATTAATACCGCTCATCGATACGGATATCGAGTTACCATTTGTTACGTCAGCAAACTTATTCGTAAAAGTCGTATCTAATGTTAAATTATTATGTCTTGCATATATTTCAATTATTACCTGGTTTTGAAGGCTGTTTGTTTATATTGTACTTGACACATATTGTTGAGCCGCGATATGTACATAAACTGGTCCAAATGGTATATTTGACACTTTCCATTTGCATATCGACATAAAGATCGGTACCGTATTGTGGGCTTCAAAATGCATAATATGATATTCGAATCACGAGCACAAATGACAGGTATCGACTATATTTTGTGTCGTGCGAGCCTGAATTTCTCATTTACATGTCAATATACGTTTTTTCCCATTTATTTTATTAACTTTATTCGTTTTGCGCACTCTCTGTTGTGTATTTACATTGCATATGCAATATATCCAAACGGCAAAAAAAAGATATGAAAATTTATGTAACTAATATTTTTTTATGTAAAAATCACGAGAAAGAAAAATAATACTAAAAAAATTGTATTAACATTTTTCTATAATATAAAATTAAACTTTTCCTTTTAAATAAGTAAGTGAATAAGAAATGAAAATTAGTGAAAGTATTATGCGTAAATCGTATTATAGGTAGGTGCTGCAATTTGAAAATTCCACGCGACTGATATTGGAACCGAATCGGCAAATCGATACGTAGTATTATCGCGAATTCGTCGGTCTTTTTACGCGTTAGACATATCAGAGAGTTTATAGCGAAAGCGCAAAGAGGCGAGCTATATTCTCGCAAAAATTCGGTACGACGCTTCTTGCACGGCTGCTTTTGTATCGAGCGTTCGTGCGTGCGAACTCATGGTGAGTGCATGCTGATGCGCATGCACGACGGCATATGCACACGCTGAGTTCATTTGTTATCGGCACAATGGACAGTAGAGGATTGCCTTACTCCCCATATATTCACCATGTATGGAGCTTCCTGTTTCTCACACACGGGATATGCGTTTCTCGTACCTGCGTTATACTTACTCGGGTGTAATAAGCGTCACGTTAATCACGTTAAACCGCGCAGATTATTTTCCATTATAGCTTCACACAAACATGTGTACGTACATAAATTGATAAATATTAATATTAAAAATTTAATTATCCCTGAAATGAATAGTGGAACGTATTACATATGTACTGTTAACCGCAGATTATTTAATACGGTCCTGTTTGAATATAATATTTATCGAGTCAGGGAATGAATGCTGGGCTTCTTTATACAGCATATACTCCTTGTATACACACAGTTGTGTAGTGATTTTTATCGGTAAAAGAAGTTACGGCACCATAAACAATTATAGATCTTACTTCTTTACAGAAAGTTGAGGAAGTAGTCTCTGTGCTCGATAAACTGATAGATCTAATTTAAAGAATCCTACGTTAATTTCTTCTTGAATAGAGTTTGCGAAACCGTCATTTATTTTCAATCAGAAACTTTGTAATTTTCAAGAAGGATTACATGTCCTGTCAATCAGAATTCGCATTAAGTCTTTATTAAAGTAACATGGGTACTCGTTTAGCTTGAAACTGAATTTGCAGAAAGACTAGAACCTTTTAATTTTTAATGATAACTACCTCCAACGAGTAATTAGGACTCTTATTAAGCTTTCATTAAAGAAGAATTGATTTCAAATTTATCAAAGTGTTCGCAATCGAAAGGGAATGTAATTATAATTTTAATTACGGTCAGATTTTTTTATGGGCTGCTATAATATTCGTTGGAAGCAATATGTGTTTATAAATATTTCACGCGTTAATTCTAATTTCAGATGCAGAGAGCAGTGCTGCTACTCTGTTGGCTGCCGCTCCTCAACCACTGCCACGCCGTAAATCCAGGTAAATATCGATCTATTTCTAGAACAGCGACGTCGGCGAGCACATATTGCAGATAGGCAGATAGGCGTTAAGTATTCGCCGTGTTACCGACGTGAAATCTCGCGGATTCGCGCGCAAAGGGGAGCTAGATTTTATTATTCCGGATAGGCGATTCCTTCTCCGACACGCTTCGGCGAAACGGATTACTGTTAACGCGAACCGATATTGCATACGTCGGTTTAAGGATCCGTTATCGTGCGAACGTAAGCCGCATTTACGTGGCGCATCGGGCTTAACGTATAGCCGGACGTTAGGTGCCTGAACGCATTAGTATCCAGGCAACGTGTCCGACAAAAACAATGCCCCTGTTACCACGAGCCACCGCCGCGCCACGCCGCGCGCCAGCCGGCTTCGGCCAGCTAGCCAGTTCTGTTGGCGAAGTCACGAATTACAGGAATACATGCGTCCTGCTTGTTCTCTCGTGTATATTACACGAGATATGGTAATCGTTGATAACGCTCATAGACATATCATGGTTATAACAGATGGAAGTATAAAATACCTATTTAAATATAGGGCAGGAAGCGTTAAATTAAAAGAGACCAAAAACAGTTTATTTATTTTAAAAGCTTCTTTAGGGCCCTATCCACGCGGATCTGCTATTAATTTCTTCTTTAGCCAGTACTTTTTGAGCGTAATATTTGAAGTTATAATGTCTATTAGTCTTAAAATATATGTGAATATGTATTGTATATAGAGTGCGCGTAAGATTTATAGTTGGCACATTTTTGTGACAACGCGTATAGTATCATTAACTAAAGTAATAGTACTGTTATAATTTATAATATAGCCGTACCAAGCATCGCCTATTACGGAAGTTTTATTTACGTGTGAGGCGAGTCGTATCAAGTTTTACGCGATTTCATTAGTGGCAACAGCTTATTACGTTAAAACTCATAATATTGAGCTCGTGTACTTTATTATAACCAACATGAGTTTTATACGGAGTCGTAAGTGAGCGATTGTAAAAATCCATACGCGACGCTGACGCTATTCGAAGTAATACCATATGTCGAGCGTTATAGCTCGCAGGTATAACGTTACCGTGTACACGTATATTTGCATTTTTCTCGCATGGGTGGGCAGAAGCGACGCGTAAGCGAAATGTCTATATACAAAAAAGACAGCGCTTAGTTATACGTAATGTACTACGTCATATGACGTCAAATGCAGACGCTGAATTATATTCAGCTTGATGGATCGTTTGGTGCGACTGGTATTCATTGCTTTAGTAGACAACTTCGAACCTGGCTCATAAATCAGACATCAATACAATACAAAAGGTTTTTCGAGCCAAAGTTTAGCTTGATAATCGTATTCTTAGTTTATCCCTTAATGATACATAAATCGAGTAATGGCTAGCGAAAGAGCTCTCTTACTTGTCACAAGTTTGGAATTTATAAAACTTTTATTATCACGCTTGAAGACAGCTAGTTCACTATATATAGGAAGCACAATTATTAATAAACATGACGGACGGATGCTATAAACTTAAGATAAGAAAATAAACGCGGTAATAGAGAATTTTTCGTAATTTTGGTTACCGTAAGTAAGCAGAAGACGAAGATTATTAAAGTGCATTCGTGCAGATCAAGTAGAAAGTAGACGAGTGATTCGTAAGCGCAATTTTTCTATAGTGGAAGAGAAAAATAACGAGCTTGGTTATACGCGTCGTATAACTGACCAACGTTATCCGGTGAGTGTGTCACATTTAATTTGGTCGAGCGTGCCGGCGTGCGGAGCTCGCTACACGATATTCATTGCTTCGCTTCGGTCGGCATCATTGAGCCCGTTACGTAGATATGTACGTGTGCATCACATATGCGGTTAACAGCACGGAACAAACGACTCTCCAGTTTCTCTGTCTCTCTCTCTTTTTCTCCTTCCGTCTTTGTTCTATAACACGTTTTCGCACGTGTCTGTCGGTCACGCGCGTGCAGTGGAAATATTTCGATGGTTTTAACTTGTCAACGTCTAGCAACGCTAGGGTTCATCGAGCGGAATTGCTGAAAATTCCGTCGTTAGCCCTGGAACACGAGCGATACGTTAATTTCTCACTCTCGTTTGCTACTACGTAATGTTCTGTCGTCACGTCCGAGCGCTTCGGATATCACGTTGTACTCGTGGAAGCAAGTTTAGATCTAATCAATTCAGTCGTCACGCGCCGGAGAATAATTTTGCTCAGTTTCCGCAGGAATAGCCGGAGAAATCCCGTTGTGGCTGCAGGGCAAAAGTTACGCTATTACGATCTTAGACCGAAGCTAGAATATGCTCGCTTTCGGCTTACCGGAAGTTTAATAATACGGCTCGCGGAAAGCGGCAAAACTTCGATCCAGTCTATATCTCGTCGGATTTGCTCGCGTACTCGCCTACTCGTGTTACACAAGCAAGTACACCGATCTAAGAGTAATATTCATTAAAGGTCCGGCATTGCGCGTACTTGTGAATTCTGGCCGCGCTAAAGCGTATATTTAAGTTGTAATCGTCGTGCAATTACAAACTTTTCCGAGTTTATCTTTCCGAGTCCCGAGCTGGGTGGGTGAACGCTTACGCGTTAGATTTTTCGTGTAATCCGGAAATTGAGCTGGGGTGCCACTCGATTAAGCATGCAATTAATACAAATTTCGAATTTCGAATTTTGAAATTTTCGTGTTTCTATAATATGCATGCAAACGGCGATTCTATATTTCTTTTTCAAACTTTAGTTTATCTGTTTAGTTTATCACAAGCGCACGAAAGGCGAAACAAATAATAGATATAATCGTCTTGGGATTATAAATTTCCACCAGAATTATATTCGCGCTCTACATGCAAAATGTGTACGGTCGATTCAGGTACCATGAGTATAGCGAGTAAAACAAGGTGTTAACTACATTTACATAAGCCGCATTCTCGGTCGAATGTACGATCGGCAAAAACAGTTTGCTGAAAATGTAGTCTTATTTCGAGCTTGTAAATCGTACAACTTGGAAATAGCCTCGCCCTTCTCCGATTTCCGGATAACGTGCAAACGCGCAGGCGACACTGGTATACTTTTAACTGCTTTTCCCAGAAACGCGCCGGCACCGCAAGCACCGTAACTCAATCGTATGTAAATTGCCGGCGGTGTAATCTCGTAAAGCGGCTTAACGTTACGACGAAAGTTTTGCAACATGCCGAGGGGTGGGGAAGGAGGTGCCCAAAACTCACGATATAAATAGACGTAATTCTTTATCCAGGGTAACACCTGGAACGCAAGGTCAATACCTTTCAATTGATCTGGACTATACTTCTTAACCTTATCCGGTCGACTGCTTTCGGTTCTATCGATCCTATCAAGTGGAAACTACGAGACCCGAAACCAGGGCCGATTCGACCAATTGGCAATAGCGCGGTAACGCGGTTTCATTGCGGGCTGCTACTCCGATTGTTTGATGACCTCATGTTGTTATCTAAGTTGCACCAAACTTTATCTGGCTTCCGAGTAGTAATTTCGGTGCCAACTTGAAGTTTATCCCTTTGTGTCTGTCACTCTGAAAGACGTCCGCGTCGCGATCACCGCTTGGACATGTTATAAAATAATGCAGAAACGTGTTAATGTTTGTCGTACGATTGTGTAAAATTCCATGAGACAGTAATTTTGTCGTTTATAAAATAACGATTTATTAAATCTAACCTAGATCGCTTGTTTTTATTTTTTTCTCATAAATATTGCAATCTTTTTTTTTCTATTTTACGCGTACGTTAAATTTTGGGAGAATTTTATAGTTTCTTTTATTTAATAATATAAAAGTCTTGATATATATGATTATGATAATAAAAGACGCGTAACGGCCAAAGAAACGGATAAAGCTTCGATGAAATATACCAGCTGACTTGGTGCCCATTCGTAAGCCGGGGCCGAGTAAAACGCAAAGTAATAACGCGCGAGATTCGGGCATGCCAGATTTATCGCGGCAACACACACCACTGACGTGACGGGAACGGTAACGAGGCTCAACGACAGCTGGTGCACGGCCCACTTCTCGCGAGTGAGAATACGTCCTACAGTCCTACACGTATCAGTTTCCATACACGTACATAACGAATACGCGATAACTGCGCAAACTTTTATCGGCAAAGAAGATTCTCATTTACAGTCTTGAAAAAATATCATCGCGTTTTTATGGATTTTCTCGAAAAATGAATAAACCGTTATTTTATTTTATTTAGTTTTTATAATTTAGGAATTGAACCAAAGAATATATACTATCTACCTGTATCGTGTCCCATATTCTCACCGCAGATTGGCAACCTGCTATCGATGAGTAACATCAAAGAGACACTCGATGAAACGGTCGGTCTGTATGACAAATGGAGCGGTCGTTATAAAATCCTGTATACAAAAAAAGAAAAAAAAAGAAAATAGGAATGCACGTTTCGAGGTAAAACCCTACGGCTGTTCTACATGGCCATCTCGCAATTCTTAGCGAATATCTGTCACTGCGGAAATTCAATTTCAGGGATCACCGCAGTGACAAGATTAATAGTCGGCCGTTCTGCAACTAAGTTGTGAAAAAATGAATTATTAACGAAAAAGAAGAAATGGAGATCAATACGCTACGTAATGGCGATGGAAAGTTGATATTTCAAATAAGTTAATCAGTTAATCTGTTTCCTACCTCGTTTTTGCGATATAATTTTTATCATCCTACGAATGTTGTATTGTTATAGTTGCAATTTGATATACTGCAAGACAAAGCGCTTTTCACAAAAACAGCATTACAATTCATATTTTTGTAAGATATTTTGAATCAATGAAATCAACGTCTTGACTAATTTCAGCACAGATAAACTTTTTTGATTCACGAGAACAAGAAAAGAATTTTAGATATAAAAATTTATTTAAATTACTGTATGAATAACAACAATATTAGATAACATATGGGAATATAGGTATTATAATGGCAAATAATAACCAGTGGATGTGTCCCATTTCGCCA